ACCTCCCCGAAAGAGACTCCGCCCTTCGGCGTAGCCTCGTTCGGTCTCCTTCCCGCCAGAAGGCAGAGAGTTCAACTGGTCAGCTGGTCGTCCGACTTCAGACTGAACTCAGACCAACTCACTGAGCTCACTGGCGACTGCTACTACTAATACTTATTATATGTTGGAGAGTCTATTAACAATAGAATAGGTATGTTCTAGTATAACACCCGATCACTACAATCTTAATCTGTTCAAATCTAGGGTTAGCAGTTATCTCCCCTTCCTATCCATATAAAATGCTTCTTAACGTAATCCTTTTTTATTTTAAAATTTTGCTTTTAATCCTTTTTTTTTTTAACTTTTATTGTAAGGAATTTTTCGGAAGCACAGTAATTCGGAAGCTTAACAATTATTCTAAATGCAGAATAAACGGATACATAATTTTATTAATTTATGCAAATTTTTGTTCTTTACTTAAAAATGTACAGATCTGTTTGGTCTTTATTTAAAAGAATTTTTGTAACCCGCAAGCCGAATGTGGTGAGTCTCTCATTGTTCCATCGCTACTGCCATGGAAAGTTCTTAGACGAACTGTATCTTCTGGTTCCACCTGGTATGAGATTTAAGGCTAGAAACCGCCAATGCCACTTACACAGTAGCAAATCACCCACGTTCCCCCCGTATTCCATCGGCGAGAAGTAAGATCCACTCGAACAACTTCTTTCTTTGAACCACTGCGCTGTGGAACAGGCTATCAAGAGGATGTTTCCCCGATCATTCTGAACCTTTTCAAGGTAGTTAACCGTTATCGTACCCTCCTATCTGTATAACCTATTCCTTAACGTAATACTCTACCTCGAGTGGCCCTCGGTCCATGTAAATATTTTCCAAGCGTAGATGTGGCACAAGGCCTAAAGCATGGGGCATCCAGTGAGGATCGAACTCACTACTCATTCATAATTGTTCTAGCGAGACAAGCTTGCTAACCATTACACCACGCCGAGGTGCCCAAAGATTTTCCAAGCGTAGCTTAGATGTGGCATACGGCAGAAAGCATGGGCCACCCAGTGAGGATCGAACTCACTTTTCAGTAGTAACTGACATAGCAAGACAAGCTTGCTAACCATTACACCACGCCGAGGTGCCTGCCCTCGGGCCATGTACAGTGTGTACCTTACTACAAATAAATAAATAAAAAAAAACGTTACCAAGGCAATCAGGTTTCATTTACTTATAGCCTTTTTTCATCACTGTTCTTAAGAAGTGTTAGTTTAGATGTTTTTGAACAGATTTGGCACCCATGCATGACGTCCATATGAAAGTTTTGATCTGACGAGGATATTTAAGAACATTACTCGAGTTTTTATGTCGCTGAGAATTCTTTAAATTGACCCTGTGTATTGTACTGTTAAGGTAAATAAGATATTTTCGGCTGAAAAAGCAGTTTCTCAACTCTAGTATTTATAATCGCTTTTTCCGGTATTGATAGGGTTTTTCTACCTAACCATTTATTTGCTGTTCGTGTCAAATGCCAACCTCTTCATTATGTCATTACATTCTATTCGAGTTAGATATGCTATCCATTTTAGTTGTTGCTGCTGTTGGTAGTCTTCAAGTGATACAGTTTATTTCATTTGGTACAGCTCATTGTTTGTGATTCCGTAGCGCCAGTCCATAAGGATCAAAAAAGGATGATCTTTGCCAAAACCCTCAAGATTTTTTTCACCGTTGATCTTAAAAAATTGTTTGTATATACCTGAGAGTTTAGATATTTCCTTACGGGTTTAGTGCCATGTATGGCATCCAAATAAAAGTCCCGATCAGATGAGGCTATCTGGGAACATGACTCGAGCGTTCGGGTTAATGGCTTGATTATCGCCAGTTTACTATGTTCAAAGAAGGATGATCTTTGACAAGACCCTCAAGAATTCATTCACTCAAAGCCTTTTTTTATCCATTGATCTTAAAAAATCGTTTGTATATACCTGAGAGTTTAGATATTTCTGAACGGATTTTGGCGCGATGCACGACATCTGTTGTGGATTCCGGGAATGGAATCCTGCACAAATAAATAAACAACGCCAGTAATTGAGATATAAAAATAAGTGTATTAAACGTAAGAATACAGATTTGAAGTGAAGATTAGTAGTCCAGGAATGCGGTTTAGTAGAAAGTATATGTACAAGTCTCTGTAAGTAAAGCCGTAATCATCTCTCTCTCTCTCTCTCTTTTCTCTCTCTCTCTCTCTCTCTCTCTCTCTGAGGACACCCTGTGTCTGTCTCCTTATCTCTCAACCTGTCTCAACGTATCTCAACAGCAGGTATTCTCTCTGTCTGTATAAGTATACTTTGGACGAGTCCATCTTATGTAAAAAGGGGAGAGCCCCACAACAACATCCATATGAAAGTATCGAGTTTTCAAGTTCCTCTTTTGGGTTTGTAGTAAATTTGTGGCGTAGAGCGAAAGTACCTCTGACGCAGCACATTCTTTATTTGATTTCTTTTTCTATTATTATTCTTATACTAATTATTTGTTATAGCTGATCTATACGCCTAGATATCAGAAATGATTAATATTTACTAATTCCACATCCTGAATTCTTACGATGTATTCAGAGTTGGTGCCATCAGTGCTTTCATTCCAATTCCAGGTCATAGATTCTGTTTTGGAAAAGTTTGTATTGGTAGTCTCCATTGTCGTTTATGGAGGGGAAACGTGGACATTGTTGGCAGATACAGAGAGAAGGATCAAAGAGTTTGAGAACAAATGTATGAGAAAACTCCTTGGCGTTTTTTTATTGGGAACAAAAAAAAACAATGAGTTTGTGTGGAAAAGGCTTGAAAGTTTTGTAGGACATCGGGAACTTCTTCTCGCCACTGCCAAACGGAGGAAAAATGGCGGGGTTTGGACACGTTACAAGGCACGACAGCCTTTGCAAGACAATCATGGAAGGCACCTGTTGAAGGTGGACGTAGGAGAGGGCGCCAACGCAAAAAACTGGTGGTGGAAATATCAAACAATTGACTGGTATGATTACTAGAATTGCTGCTGGCTGCCATTGATAGACTGATGTGGATAAGAGTTAGTGGGGCTTCTACATTCGGATCCGCCATACGATTACAAATTCAAGAGAATTATGATGATGATGATGGTGGTGGTGGTGGTGGTGGTGGTGGTGACTAGAAAAATACAAAAAAAAAAACTTTTAACCGAAATGATTTCTAAAATTAACTTCACCCTTAGTAACTTAAAAGGTTTCACTTGAAAGTGAACGTTTCAAACTCGGCTTAATAAAGGCAGTCAGACCAGTCACTAAATTTGATGAGCGTCGGGAAATATTTCTCAGTATAAATCCTCCAGATAACATCCATTAAAAGTACTGGGAGAAGGACGTAACCCTCGGTGGAAACTATATAGAGTGGGATTAATCGATGTGCCAATATTTGCGTCTCGGCATCGATTGGAAATGGCTTCGGACATATTTATACTCCCCTTCCTATATATTTTAAATGCATGATAAACTTAAGCGAAAACAAACAGGAAATATATCAATTTATCTTTTGCATCTAATATGAAACGAAAAAGACTTGGCAGTAATTGTAACCTCTGGCCCCAACTCCTGAAATTACTTCAGCTATATTTAAAATAAAACCCACTAAATATAATACAAAGAACCTTTTCTACATAACGTAAATGTTTCTGAAACGTTATTTATCACTGCTGCATCCTGTTTGAAGTTATACTTCCTGTGTGTGGTCGACCTACACTCAGCGTGATGCACAAGAGCTAGAAAATGTACAAAAACACTACCAAAAGGATTTCTGAAACTAAAAACTGGCCTTTGCCTTATCAAAATAGAAGTCTTCACTTAAAACTGAACGTTTTAAACCCGATTGAATACAGGAAATATCTCTTTCTCTCTTGGCTTGGCTTAGCAAACGAAGATTAATGAAGTGGGCTGTCTACGTCGACTGCAGGCAGCCTAATGGCCGACTAGGCCGATGGGGGACAGGCAGTGACTACAATTAAAGGTCTGGTCTGGTATAGATGATGAGGCTTTCCGTTTCTCCTTCAGGTTGGCCTGCAAGTCCTCAAAAGGTGGAGACATTTTATATATATATATATATATATATATATATATATATATATATATATATATATATATACACACACACTCACTCACACGTACACACACACACACACACACACACACATATATATATATATATATATATATATATATATCTTCGCGAACCGAGCTTTATGAAGTAGACGCCAACTGCAGGCACACTGATGACCGACTAGGCCGAAGCGGGACAGGCAGCGACTACAATTAAAGGTCTGGTCTAGCATCAAAAAAGTCTTCACTTAACGTTTTAAACCCGATTTAATACAGGAAATATCTCTTTCTTGGCTTGCCTTGGCTTCGCGAACGAAGTGGGCTGTCCACGTTGACTGCTGGCAGCCTGATGTCCGACCCGGCCGATACGGGACAGGCAAGATCGGCCGCAGCGACTGCAATTAAAGGTCTGATCTAGTATAGGTACTGAGGTTTTCCGGTCCTTCCACCCCGCAGCCTTTCTCCTTCAGGTTGGCCCTGCGAGTCCTCAAAGATGGAAACAGCGGCCACCCCCTCCCATATATATATATATATATATATATATATATATATATATATATATATATGTGTGTGTGTGTATATATATATATATATATATATATATATATAAGGTGGCCTGACGATTGCATATAGCATGAAACAGACTGTCGCCTCTAAGTGTTGACTTCTATGTTCACTTTTATATTTACACACGCTTTATCTCTGATATTGAGCACTTTATCCCATAAATATAGCACATCTTAAGACTATATTTCTTCATATATATATATATATATATATATATATATATATATAGAGAGAGAATGTGTGTATTTTTAAAACGAATCGAAAATCTCCTTCAGGTTGGCCCTGCGAGAAAAAAAGTTTGATTTATACCAGCAAGAGTCGACCACTGACGATGGTCAATGAGCAAGGTACCGAGAGAATTCTTAAGGGAGTCTTTATAACGCCTCCTTTTTTTGCGTTGTCAATTTTGTGGCCAGTTGAAACATTGTTTCACCGTGCAGGGCTAATCTAAAGGAACTATAAAAGTCAACTATATTGATAATATGGATGTCGAGAAATATTTTACAGGATAAGTCTTCTAGATGACACTCATTCAGCGTAATGGGAGAAGAGTTTAACGCCGATTGGAAGCTATATGTAGACTTATTAGTCGATATGCCGATTCTCGTGTCTCGCCATCGATTCGAAATGGATCTGGAGAAGTTTATGACGCCCTTCCTCGATATTAAAATTTCATGACTAACTCCGCGAAAACAAACACAAGATAAATCCATTTATGTTTCATTTCTTTGTGTGAATGTTTGGATGATTCCTTCATTTCACATGAGACTGTAGGTCCAAAATCCAAGGAATTTTATTTCGTTCTGAAGGGAAACATTTTTGCAAATAGTCGTAAAACATGGACGTAATGTCACCTAAAAAATAAGAAGAAAAAAATTATATAGTTAAAAAATGAAATGATCAAAAAAAAAATTTAAACTCTTTCTGTTCGTCTTTCTCTCTCTCTGTCTCTCTGTCTTCTCTTCTCTCAGACGTATTTAAAACACACACTCTCTTTTCTTTAAATTTAAATTCTCTCTCACAGTTATACACACTCCAAATAATTCTCTCTGTATTCTCTTTCTCAGACACACACATTAATCACTTTCTTTCTTTCTCTCTCTCTCTCTCTCTCTTTCTCTCTCAGACAACATGCATCTCTCTTTCTTTCTCTCTATCTCAGACACACACATTTCTTTCTTTCTTTTCTCTCTCTCTCTCTCTCTCTCTCATTTTGTTATGAAAGATTTCTTTTTTTCTTTCTCAGATTCATTACATTTTCAGATCTTTTTTCTCTCTCTCTCTCTCTCTCTTCTCCAGATAAATATACTCTCTTTATATTCTCTCTCTCTGTACACACATCTCTCTCTTTTCTTTCTCATCTCTCTCAGACACACAAATCTCTCTCTTTCTTTTCTCTTCCTCTTTATCCCTTTATATATGAGATAGAACATATTGAAAAATGGATAGCAACTTGGATTGAGGAATCAATTTAAGCCATGTTCAAATGAATTAAATTGATCTAGATAGGTGTAAGTTGAGTCTATCTCCTCTCTATTACCAACCTTTTCCACAATCCAGATGTTTGCCCAAGACTAGTTTTTTTAACGTGGGGCGTTCGAGCCTGAAACAATATCGTTTTAAATTTCATAGTTGTAAAATTCAAGTATGCTACTTCAACGGAAAACAAGTTTGTGTAAATTAATAATAACGAATAATTCAGAGACCTTGAATAAGAATGCAGTAGTAATTGAAGTAAAAGCAGTAATGCAGAATGCTAAATCTTTAAATAATTTTTTCCCAACAAAAATTCAGAATGGTTTGTTTTCCAAAAAACAACCGAACCACTTTATTATAATAAAACTACTTTCTTTTGCGGTTAATATATATATTAATCCATTTTCTTTGTTTTATATATATTCTCATATATTCAATACGAAATAAAAAATTTTCGTAAGAGGATAAAGATTTATAATTCCTGTCTAGATTTAACATTAATCTATTCTAACGTTTTTTTTTTGGGGGAACTTGTTTATTTATTTTGAATGTTTGGGTTTAATTTTATTTGTTTTTCATTTTCATTTTGTATTATTTTTTCTTTTCGTAAGAAATTAAATTTTGTTTTATTAACGTAGTAAAATATGAAAGGTATATATTATATATATATATATATATATATATATATATATATATATATATATATATATATAGAGATCAAGATATATAGATAGATATATATATATATTTGACACTATCTACTGTAGTCATTACGTGTTTGTTCGCCCAAAATTTATTGGTACAATATAAGTTTAAATTTAATATGTTGGAGACATATGCCATTGTCAACTTCTTCAATTTAAACTGTTTTTGCGATTCTGACAAACATTTACTCTTTTGATTGTTTTTGAATACAAATGTCCTTAAAAAAGACAAAATGATTTTCAAAAAAATGGATTTCAAAAGTTGAAAAATGGTAATCATTAGTTTAGATGTTGGAAACTTTTTATAGTAGATCATAAATCTTAGGTGTTTGTTAGGATCGTTAACAGATATATATTCGCGAATTATGCTTTTAATCGCTTTTTCATCCTGTTTATAATTAGGGTGAACGAGGTAATGTTTTTATTTTTGTTTACATCATGGTAGTTTCTTGTTTTATTTTTTCCAGAATTTAGATAAATCTTTGTTCGACAACGACATGATTTAAGTATTTACACCTCAAAAATCCCTCCTGGCTGTGTTAAATTAATGCTGTTTATGTATTCTTGTGGCCTTTGAAGATTTATCTCAACATTAATTTTCAAAAAAATAGAATTAAACGCTTAAAAATAAATGACACATTTTTATACATGTTCTCTCGTAGGTTGACTTGCCACTTGTCGAAATACAGTGCTATCCGTGAACATATCGACTAGCATATTTCGTACAAAGTAAAACTATCAACATAACAAAAATATAAAGGGATAATACCAAAGTACTCTATTGAATCTAATGCAAGGACAGGCTAAAAACCCGAAAAGCGAGTATTATACAAGATAATTAAACACATGAGATGGTATATTAAAATGCATATGATTGATATTTTTGTTTGATATATATATATATATATATATATATATATATATATATATATATATATAATAGAATACAAAATCATCTCATATGGGAATAGCCTATTTCGGCAGGCGAAAACACAGTTCGTGTCAGAAATAGAAATTTAACTGTGAAAGCAAAAAGAAAAAAAAAACTGTCGAAAAACAAATGCCGATTCTATCCATTTCAATTTATTTGCATTCTAATAATAAATACATTGAGCTATTTTTCTTGATCAGTTTTAATATTTGATATTACTTTAATCCACTTGGATTAAATTTTTGGTACACATTTGTTACTTTAAACTATATATATATATATATATATATATATATATATATATATATATATAAATATGTGTGTGTGTGTGTGTTCACTGTGTTTGTGTGTGTGTGTGCATTCATTCATATCTATGTTTAATATTGAAGTCAATTCATAGTTATTCCAATCTTTTCCTATCTATCTATTTATCTATCTAGCTATGTCAGTCTGTTCATATCTAACTATCTATCTATCTATCCTCCTCAGTCTGTTGATATCTATCTATCTATCTATCTATCTATCTATCTATCTATCTATCTATTTATCTATCTATAATTCTATCTCTTTCATCTAAATATTGTCATATTATAATTTCTTGACAATCTGTTCAGATCTATTTATCTATCAATCTACCTGTCCATATTCTATCTATCTATCTATCTATCTATCTATCTATCTATCTATGTCTCTGTTTATATCTATATATCTATCGATCTATATGTCTACCTCAGTCTGTTCATATCCATCTATTATGTTAAATATTCTATAATCTATCTCAATATCTTGTGACTATCTATCTATCTATCTATCTATCTATCTATCTATCTATCTATCTATATATATATATATATATATATACATACATATATATATATATACATACATATATATATATATACATATATATATATATATATATATTTATATATATAAATGACATTCTGTTCACAATATATCCAATTGATCTATCTATCAGAATCTGTTCATACCTATCTGTATATCTCAATCTCTTCTTATCTATCTATCTCTTCATATCTATGGCAATTTGTTCATATCTATTTATCTATCAATCTATCTAAGTCCATATCTATCTATCTATCTATCTATCTATATATATATATATATATATATATATATATATATATATATATATATATCTGAACCTATTCCTATATATTAATGTCCGTCTGCTCCCTCTCTCTTTATCTCTCTGTCTATCTATGACATTAAGTTTCTATCCATCTATCTATCTATCTATCTATCTATCTATCTATCTATCTATCTCAATCTATTCTTATCTTAAATCCATCTATCTATGTTAAATATATATATATATATATATATATATATATATATCCTTTTTTTCATACACTACTATATTAAAATTCAGTGCTCCATTTAATAGAACCAAAATTTTTTATGTATATATTAATAAATATAAATATTATCCGTCATCGATTGCACAAATCGGAGTTTCATGCAACCCGTAATCTTCAGGTATCGACTATAGACTGACTGTTAAGTAAATTCAATTTAAAAAAATATATCTGCTGGTGTCGTGAAGTATTATATATATTGGGATTATCGTTTTTAAAAATGATATTATTTTACTTTTTTTTAATTATATTTCTCAGAACATTATATTTGTCAATTAAAATAACCGGGTTTAGCATATGAACGACAAACGTTTTTTTAAGCGTTTCACCCCAAGAAAGGTGGGAAGCCATTAGCATGCAAGGGGTTACAGAGGACTGGAGTGAGAGCAAATAGGAGTGATGGAGGAAAGGATGAAGAGAAGGCTAGAGGATAGATCAAGGCATCTGGAGACGTCGATTGACGTTATATTTGAATAGTTGGAGATTTTAGCTATCAGGGAAACAGGAAAAGGGGAGGGAGTTCCACAGGCGAGAAGTGCGAGACATGAAGCTATTGGAGTAGAAGAGACGGCTACATTTAACAGTTTCGACAGTGAAAAGGTGAGAGCGAGATGCCAGCCTAGTTGAACGCTTAAATTCATGAAGTCTGGGAACCAGCGAAAGCAGCTCATCGGAGCAGTTACCGTGAAAGTATTTGTAAAAAAAGACAGAGGGAGGCGACAGCACATCTGTGAGAGAGCGACTGCAGACGAGATGCCAGATGAGGGCAAATTACATTGCATATCCGTCTCTGGATTTTATCAAGAACCTTGAGACAAACATAAGGGGCACCAGACCATATATGGCAGCAATAATCCTCCATGCAAGGGCGAATGGTTGATTTGTAGATTTGAAGGATTGACTCCTGTTAAAAAAAAAATTGGCTTGCAAAGCATTTGAACTTTTCATGGTGGACCCAATTTGAAATATAATTGTTCCATCTTTCAATTTTAATCAACATTTGTATATCTCAATTATCGTTAATTAAATATAAAATTAAATAATAATTTTTTTAAAAAAAAAAATCCATTTTTTTTAAAATTAAAACTAAAATACAACAGTAATTATTAAGCATCAATTATAATATATATTAAACTGTAACACAAACTAAAAAGTAAATCGTGATGAGTATTAAAAATTAATCTGGATCTACGTCTTTAAGTAGATATTTATTTTTATGCTTACAAGTAACAATCAGTTCATTTCTTTGGTTTAATAATCGCGGGTTAAGATAATCATTTTTTTCAAGCAAACATAGGTTGCATATAGTTCGTTATACGATTTTATCCTTAATTATATTAAAAAATATAATTTAATTTTAAATAAATGATTAGAAAAAACCAGTGATTTTTCTGCTTTAATTTTATCCAAAATCATTTGTGGATGGTTTGAAGCGAAAGTCTTCAAATTTTCAAATCAAAAAAAATTTTATCTAACATCGAAATTGATATTTTTAAAATATAAATATAAATAATAATTCATTATATTTACTATCTTATAAAATTCAATCTTCTATGAATCTCGTACATTCATAAATTTATACCGAAAATCCTTTCAAGTTGATCTGATCAAACGCAAAGACAACGTAAATGAACATCATTTCCGTATAGGATGAAGGTTCGAATCCTGTCAAAGGAATTTATTTTCTATGTTCTTTCTCGAAATTTTCAAACAGGCCGGTAAATTTTATTTAATACTGTTTATTATAAACAGAAATTTGCATAAAATATTTTATCTATAAAAAGAACGTTAAACATAAAAAATTTAATAAATAAATTGTTTATACTTGTCCATTTCATAATATATATATAAATATATAGAAATTAAATTGAGATGTCAAATTTTATTTTCATTTTTGTTATTTCTTTTTTAAAATTTTTTCCATCATCATTGTTTTAGATAGATAGATAGATAGATAGATTAAAATTATACTAAAGAATCCTTATAAAAGGCTCCATTTATTTAAGGATATATAAATATATTTTTATTTTTGAATTAAAAAATATATTTCCATTAAACTTATTATAAATTACTTTGTTTACAGCATTTTTTTTCAATTTTTATATAATCTTATTTTTTTCTATAAAAACATTAAGGTTATCTTAAACTATTTTGCCCAAAAGTGAAAGCTTGAATACGATTTAGTTTTATTTTAACGAGTTTGTTTTAATCAATAGTACGCATGCATAATAAACCACCGACCGCCAGAACAACAGGCTTCCCACTGTTATTTATTTTCAAATTTTTCTTTCTTAGTTAGTAAGATAAAACATTTTATATTCATTAATATAACCTGCTTATAACAAATTGAAACTGAAATATAAGCAATTTTTCTATAAATGGATTTATATTAAGTTTTCATTTTATTTCTCCATTTTTGAATAATTTTTAAAAAATAGATAAAAAAATTCAAATATGTATTTGATTGCATAAAAATATTATGTGTCAATTTGTTTGATTTTTTTATTTTCTATATCAATTATATATATATATATATATTTATATATCCTTTTAGATAAACTAGTCAGGAGAATTCCGAAAATAAAAAAGAATCATATAGAATTGATTCAGCTTATATATATATATATATATATAAATATATATATATATATATATATATATATATATATATATATATATATATTAATTGGAATTGTTTAACCCTATGATTTTTTTTTGTTATTTATTACATGTTATTTATCAAATTCCTCTTAAAAAGAGGATTTCGGGTTCAAATCCTGCTGGAGAGGTTTAAAAATTTAAATTTAGTACTATTTGAATTTCCCCATTAATATTTTTATTCAGGGTTAAAAAAACAAAATAAAAAAAATGTTTAAAATAAAGATCAAAATCCCAACAATTTTAAAAAATTAAAATTTATTCGTTTTAAAATATTATATTCCTTTTTATATATATATATATATATATATATATATATATATATATATATATATAATATATTTTCCTGGTATAGAATTAATAACTTATTTAAAAATTGTCAAAATCTTTTGCAAAATATCTCTATTTATCTATCTAAAGCCTGTCATTATGGATTCATATATCTTTAATATGAAAAAAAATTTGAATTATATATAAAAAATATAAAAATTAAAATTGATAATGGTTTTTATAATTTAACATTAAAAATTTAATAATCAATTTTACATTTAAGGTTTTTTAATTTATATGGACTTTAAATTTCCTTTATAATTTTTAAAAGATAATTTTGTTTTGTGAATTATGTGTTTTTTTTTTAAAAATGTTTTCATATGTGGATGTTTATGTTTTATATTTATATAAATATATATATATATATATATATATATATATTTATATCGATATATATATTTTAAAAATTCATTTTTTAAACCTTTTTATTATGACGTTTTCTCTAAAGGAACAGACATTGAGTTGAGTTGAAAATTCTATTCTCTTGGAAAAATATATATATGTATGTGTATGATGTATGTTCAATATTTTTTTATTTTATCTTTGTATTTGTATTTTAATTTATTTATAAATATATATATATATATATATATATATATATATATAATATATGGGGGGATACCCCAAATGTATATATATATATTTATGTATGTCATATTATGTGCTTTTATATATAATATATTTATTTTGTAAATAATAATATGTATATTATTATATATAATTATATAAATTTTTGTTTTGGATACATGTAACATATATACATATATATATTTATTATATATATATATATATATATATTTGTAAATAATTATATTAATATATATATATATATATATAAATATGGCTTTAATTTATTTAATTTTAATTTTATTTATATAATTTTTATATTTATATTTATTTCTATGTTTGTATATATGCATATGGTATATAATTATATATATTTATGTTTGTATGTATTTAAATATTTATAGGTATATATATATATATATATATGATATATATATAATTATATATGTTTGTGTTTATAAATTTTGGAAATTTCTATCATCTAGTGAATAATAATTATGATTTGAAAAAGAAATTTTTTTTTTTTTTTTTCATATTTTCGTATATTTTTTGCCTTATTTTTAAAGTTAACACAAAAAATTATATAAATTATTTATATATATATTTCTGTGTTTAAAGATATTTTTTTTATATATTAGATAGT